TTCCTAAAATAGTCAACATTGATGAAAATTACCTTTTGAAGTTAGAAACATTCCCTATTCATTTTGATGACGGTAAAGGGATTTGTACGAGATCTTCCAAAGGAAGTAAACTTTTTCCTGGAAAAAAGAAGAAAAAAAAATCCGCGGTGAAAAGTCGGGAATTTATCAAAATGATTTTTTTGGTTTCTTGTCACGCCATCAAACTAAAAGTAAACCGACTGAATCGGCTTAAAGCCAAGAATCACCGAGAAAATTTATAACAATCTGGCTAGGTCTTTTTTTTCAGAGTCAGTTATTTTCCACTAACCATAAAGTAAATAAATATTGTTTCTTTTCGCCATAAAAATGATAAACCGTTGCGTTTTGGCAAAGAAATATCTTCCTCTGCCAGCTATTTTAAGATTTAGGAATAGCACTGGAGGTCATGCTGATGACTGGCGAAAAGTTTCATTTTTCACAGTTTTTTTCCTTTCGGAATATCGCCCGGCACAATCTTCCGTTGAGTGTTAGGGACATATTTAATTTTCAAATCGTTTCCAGTTCTGATGTATTATTGTTAACGGCCCGTACATCATCGATCGTTTTAGAATAAAAAAAACCCCAATTCCTTAAAATATTATCTGATAGTTCATAAGTTCCTGTTTTCACTGTGTTTGTTAAATATCTTTGATCACGGTTCTCATTTTTCCTTCAAGTCATCAAAAATTGGTAACAACAGCTTCACCTACTCAGACTATTCAGGAGGGTAACCAAAAGGAACTTCGGTTGCTTGTAACCAGCTCCCCCATCAGTAATGACAATGGAACAAAGATTTGCTCCTAAATCCTTGTTAGATGCTGCTATCAAACTCCTCTCCGCCCCCTGCTCCATTAATCCAATTAATCCCTAATTATCCATTACTATTGGAAAGTGAAACTTGCGGTAAATTCCGGGTAATCAGGAGTACGTGACATCAGAAGGAAAAATCACTCGTTCTTTGAAGGAAGTTTCGATGAGTTTCAGGAAAAGAATTTGTGCAAAAAACTTGATCTATTCAGGAAAAGGCTTTTCAAGTCAAATCCGTTCATCAAGTTTTCGAGCATAATTCCTAACCTTGGCTCTAATCGCTCACTGCACTACTTTTCAAGTTTGAATCGCTTGCCTGAATAAAGAGAATGTTTAAACTCGGATAGATGACCGATGTTGTACATTCTTAGGAAAATTCCTCTTCGTTAGAGTGGTCCAGGTTCACTATTCCCCTTTCCCTCCCCTCCCTAAAAGAGGTATCATTTGTTGATCATCACTTACATAAAGCCAAGCGAGATCCTCTCGATCATAACATCACGTGATTGTTACGATATATCCATCTTATTTAGATTAACACCCTTAAGAGGTAAACGAAGACAGCAATGTGTTGTCTTTTAAGGGTACAACACTGATCAACCCAGCCGTTCCTCTTATTTACCAACTTTGTCTTCGATGACGCAAATCGCACTCATTGGAAAATGAACACCTCATGAAAAGTTAGTCATCGAGCAGAAATAACTTACCGTTTTAAGACAGAAGCTCCAATTCAGTACTGTGAGAATTCTTGATTGTAATTTCGGGTTAAAAATCCAACTGTTCTTCCAAAACAATGAATGCTTAGACCGGATGTTACCTGCAACAAAAGTGAATTGTTTCATTTTTGCATGTAGTCACATCCATCATCGGTATAAAAGTTAGACGTACAAAACCGAAATACATTTACGTACATCAAATGGCGCTTCAAAAGTAGGATAACAAATATCCGTCACTCCTTATCTTTCCTTTACTGGAACGAACCAAATGAATTCATTTAAGATTTTGTCATGGACATTCGAAATTCATAACGGTTGAAATTCTGCGCGAGGTTGGTGCGCTAGTAGATAACCCTTCGGCTAACTCAGATGATGTCGGAACTTAAGAGAAGGTAGTTTGAAAGAAATCATCATCACGTCCAGTGCCGGTTAAAATCATAGGTTGATTTGTCGAATTTAGTAAACTTTTGGTAGGTCTCGGTGTTAAAACCGACTTTGCTCCTTGTGAATTCCTTCCAATTTTTTTTCGCACATATCAGAATTCTCTTCCGCCAAGCCATTAATCACAACATTCTTAAAAGAACAAGGTTTGAAGCAGTTTTAAAAACCGATGCTCCAAGCCAAAACGATTTCCATAGTCTATGTCAAGGCAAATCATCATGGAAGTGAATCAGGTCTTTTTACAGACAGTACTTACCACAACCTGTAGCCTTCAGTGCCCGGTCTCGAAGGTAACTTTAACCATCTCTTTTCGTCCTTTGAGTGTTTTCCAACACACGTCATACGTCAGTCATACCAATAGAATGTGGTTGTCTATTTCTGTTCGACCGTGTCATTCTCTTCCCCAGGCCCGCTGAACGCAACGGCCAAACGTAAGCGTCAATGGAAAAGGTCCTTTAAGTATAATCAATGACTTTTTCATTTTGTACGCTTGTCGTTGACCGATTTACGTAGGATTTCTATTAGACAATCTCTTATTTGTGGAGCGTTTTTCTGATGTATGCACCGAGCGCCTTTTCACGGATAATTCACTTAGCGAGAAACTACCCAACATGAACATCGGAATATTCTCCACCGTCAGATATGAATCAATGGACAACCGGTAAGCTTATGAACTAAGTGAGAAAAACGAATAAAAATCGCTCCAAGGACAACTGGAGAAGACTCCAGGAAGTAAATGTATTTATTTGTTTTCATGTTAATTGTCCTGCAGTAATTCGTTGGGGGAGGAAGCTTTCTCTTCTCTCCTCCTTTAGACCGTCTCCCAGCTGCAGGGTCCTCTTCAAGTTAGCGGAGAGAAGCCTGGGGCGAACTAGAGGAAGCACGTGAGGGTGCCGAGCCTCAGATCAATACTTTCGGACGATTCTCTCAGATTACTGATGGGATTGTTAAGTTTTCATGACAAGAGAATTTGTAGGTATTCAGTAGTTTTTCATGTGGATATTTGTGTTTAACTTAGAACTCTTGGAATGACCAGTATTTAATTTCTCCTTATAGAAATAATGCTACGTCATTCCTAAAGATAACGAGAATAAGACAAATGATCACCAACTTAAGAAACTTTGATTGTCAAACAAATTCTCCTTGTCAGTACCAGAGGAATTGTAGAGAGAAAAGTATGGAGAATATAGATACTGATGTTAGGGTGTAGAGAGGTTTAAGTTTCAGATGATGCAAAATGATCAAATTCCTTCTGGCATTAAAAACAAATCAGAAAGCACATCTTGCACATCAGTACTTTCAGTGAGTGACCCTTTGTTTTGGCAAAAACCAGCTCTTTCTGTTTGGAAAGACCTGGTTTGGAAAGGGTCCGGAGACTGAAGAAGTTGTTCTAACTAACATGTTATGGTATGTCTTTATTTTCTGTTGTTTCTATCCTCTGGGTGAAAAGATGGTGACATGGTGTACACTCAAATTTAGCAAAAACTGGGTAGGAAATAATACATTTACCCTTTCAATCCCAATATCTCAATAGCAATTCTCCCTAATGTCTGTTGCACAGTTCTTATGATGTTAGTTTAGAGAATTTGGTATTATATCAACTAATAATCCCTAATTGAAACTTTTCTTCATAATCAACTCGTGTTCCACTCGACATCTCATTCGTTCGCTGCGCTCACTCGTGAGCTATCAAGTAGAACACTCGGGGAGAAATTCCATATTAACGCGCGCCCATGTATCATTATAGTTATCGCTATGTACTTCTATTCGTTCATCAAGCGCTTGAGCCCGCGTTATTGACCGCATACTATATGTAACATTTGCTTAGCTCTGCCATTTCCGGTTGCTTTCTGCTATTTGACATTTGCATGAAACACGCGGGCGATGGCGGCAGCTTTTGGAAGGTATTCATCGGCTAAAACTACTTCTTATGCATTGATATTTGCTTTTGCTGCATATACCTAAAATTTTCACTTATTATTTGTTACAGCTCCCCGAGTAAATACAAATTGGATCGATGGTTCGTGAAGAGATTTTGGCGATGTTGGAAAGTTATGACTCCAAGCTGCTCTTCTACAACCTTTCTTCTCTTTGTGCTCTTGGTGGGGTTCGCTTTGGCAGGTAAAAAGGCCGCTACTATTATTTTTAAAAATTGTTTCAGATGACAGAGGTTCGCATATTCAGTTGCAACTCGGTTATTTCCGTAAAGCTTGAGCTATCCGTTTACAGTCTAATTACGCAATAGTGATAGATTCGTTTTCCCCAATGAATGTTCCATCTTTTATCCACAACCCCCGCCCACTGAAGAGACTGCGAATTTTTGTTACCTTTCGTTAAAAAAAGGAAAAAAAAACATCAAAACAAACCCTTGAAGGCTTACGTTGATCATAACAATATATTTTAAGACTATTACTGAAAACGAAAAAGTAAAAAGAAAATGAAAAAAATTAACTTAAAATAAAATAAAAAAGGAGTTATTTGAATCAATCTCGGAAAAGGAGTAGGGGGAGGTAGGGGGGTATGCAGGGGGGGTATAACTCTCTTGCCCCCCTCCCCCCACCCCAGCCCCCCTTCCACTAAATCTCCTCCTGTCAGTTTGGTCAAGGTATTTTAGCTATATTTTGTGTTTCAAATTTTTCTTAGTTTTCAAACTTTTCAAAGTCAATAATTTTATTTTACTTTGTTTTGAATCATTATCCATAACTTTGGACAAATGTAAGTGGTTTAAGATATTTGAAACTAAGAAGAAAAAAAAAATTTTGAATCATGTGTGTATTTTCTTCCAGCTCAAATGATGGTTTACAACACTGGGTTAATACCAAGCAGATTTTATGAAGTTCTTTTAGCCAGAGATAAAGAGGACTTTTCAAGTCTTTTGATATCATCTCTTTTAATAATCATTGGTGTTTCACTGGTAAGTTTTCAACTGAGATAAAAAAAAACCTCCTTTATGGTATTGACTGTTGGCCCATTATTATCCACAGCTACAACTTAAGGCTTGCAAACTCCTTTTGTCCACAATTATGAAGAACAAATATTTGGCAAATGTTTTTTCAACTATCTCAAATCCTGAGACTACTGGTTCTTTGTCTTTCGCACTCTATCTATTGTCACTTTACTAATTTTATTGCAGACTATTATATGGCTTATTATATTTTTCTTTATCTGCTCTCTAGACTAATATATTCTTGTGCTGTTTGGGGGAGGGGGGGAAGGAACCTAATCTCACAAGCCTTAGTGGTTTTTTATTAGGCTTTTTTGCCAATAACCTTTTTCTTTTTTTTTTTTGTGGTTTCTTTGCCAGTTCCTGCAAATTGTAGTTGTATTATATGTAATCATGGCAACGAAACAGCACAACAGAAAGAGGCTTGTTCTGGGACCAGGCAGTTTATTAAATGTATATAGATTCTGCATGTATAAATCTCTAGACTATTACATCAAAGGTATTTGACAGATACACTAATACAGCAGTCTGGTCATCAGGAATTTATTACAAACATCAATGAAATATAGAAACAATCAAAAGTGCTTGTGGTGTGGGTAGGAAACTAAAACTTTCTTAGAAGCTAGAACTAAACTTGTTTCTTGCTTGGTTGATTGTTAATATCAATATGCCCAGATACCTAAGCAATTAGGAAAGGTTACCCTGTTGCATAGTAACTGAGTCTATCTAAGTCTTATGAATTGCAAGCTGAACAAATTGCTCTACCTAGGAAAGAACTAACTGCTTTTACCCAGTCCAGACCTCTCACTCATTTATATATAATTATATATTAATATTAATAAAGTTAACATTCATATAAAAGAATAACAAAAACATTTGTGCACAGTTTTATAAGCTTGTTTTGCCATAGACAATTTTCTTCATAATAACATTTATTTTACTTCTTTTTTGGTATTTTTAGGCAAACAGTGCAATGAAACTTGTCTCAAGAATCCTTTATGTTAAATAGAGAGAGTTGCTTTGTAGGAAACTTCATGCAGGCTATTTTAAGCATAGGGCTTATTATAAACTGAATGTCCTAGATGACAAATATGACAACGTGTGAGTAGAATGTTCATGTTATATACTTATTGCTGAAATGGGAGAGCTAGATGGGAAAGTATTTAGCCTGTCAGGACCAAGCAGTGAAGTCCATGCCATAAGCAAGAACTACATACAAACTGTATGTTTTCTGTGGCCTAACCTTACACAGTGTAGAGGATAGAGGATCCTCTACACTGAATCAATGACTACCATCCTGATGAGGAGACGCTGGAGGTGGATTGGCCATGTCACCTGCCAAGAAGCTTCCATTGCAAAAACTGCTATGCATTGGACGCCAGAAGGGAAACGCAAGCGGGGTCGCCCCAAGATCACATGGCGACGGACAGTTGAGAAGGAAATAAAGGAGATGGGGAAGACCTGGGAGGGCATCAAGTTCATGGCAAGGGATCGCCAGATGTGGAGGGAACACGTTGCTGCCCTACATGCCTGTTAGGCGTAAAGGGCATGATGATGATGATTCCGCAACAAACTACCAGGCGTCGAAATTATTTGTTTATCCGATCCTGCCGACGTTGAAAAGTTATTTCGATCGGATCCCAAACATCCAGAAAGACTGGACTTTCCGTCTCTAAATTTCCACCGGGAGAAAAGGAAGAAATTCCTGGTGTTTTCTTTGCCGTTGGTGAGGAATAGTACAAGCTACGAAGCGTCCTGAGCAAAAGAATGCTTCGACTGAAAGATGAGAGTATTTTTGAAGATGCCGAAGCGTTTAAACCGGAGAGATGGTTGCGAAACAAAGATACTGCTTTGATTGAAGCAGTAGAAGCCTTCGCTTCTCTTCCATTTGGTTTAAGATTACGTATGTGCCTCGGTCGACGAATTGCAGAGTTAGAGCTTCACCTGTTAATGGGCAGAATCGTGCAGCAGTTTGACATCTCTTACCCACCGGAGGCGGAGAATGTGGAGCTGTTCATTAGAGGGGTCACCATTTCTGATAGACCTATTAAAGTGCAGTTTGTTCGTTTCCATAAAGGAATTGACTTTGTTACAGTTAAAAGAGGTAGTTGAACACGAATTATGAATGATGGTCGATCCGGCTCCAGCTCTTTATTTTTGGCTGAACTCTCTATAAAGGAGTCCACAAATGCAAAGGTTCAAAAACTGACAAACAGTCCCATTGGAAATTACGTCACTCAACCTCCTTACTTTTGTATCCGCCACCTTTAATGATATTTCAACTGGGTTTCTTTAAGGTTATTTGTATATTAAAGGAGCTGAATGTTTGGAATGACTTTTCAAAGCAGTATCAGTACGCAAAGAGAAAAAATAGAAAAACAATTTAAGGAAACGGTACAGAAACACTCACAAGAGTGTTTGCTCAGAGACCGCCTAATTCCTTCAATTATTGAAATATGGACGCTGTGTATCTAAGGTCTAAGGTTGCTTATGACGTCACTCTTGTGCATGTCTGCATTCCTCTATGATAAAGGTAACTATCTGAAATATTAAACGTTTAGTTCAAGTTCAACTCCTAATTGGACCAAACTTTGAGGCACTTGATGTCATTGTTAGTTCTTAGCCTTGCTCCGATGTTTTCCTACTTTCAGTTGGCTGTCTTTCCTCTTCTGTGAAAGGAAATAAATTCGCAAAAAGTTACTCGTCACATTTAGCTCCAAACCAATGCTGCGTTGTAGAAGCAGGAGAAAACGAGCAGCGGTGATCCGGATTTAAGAAATGTTCGTCAAATTTTCCGAAATTTTTTTCATCGGAGACTCCACCTGGTTTTCCATCAAATTCACACCCCCTTTTTATGCTATCGTAACTCTTTATGTGCCAGGACACATCTTCCCGCTGTTTTGTGAGGGCGGTGCAATTAGAACAATAGATTCCTCGGATATTGACATATTCGTACATCTGGCAGGTGTTCCAGGTACCAAAAATGTCATGACCTGCCAGCTTAGCGCGTGCGTAGTCCGTATACTGCAGGCCATCCGTAGAAAAGTTACAAGTTGCTCTCAGATGTGTGGAGTGATTAGCAAGATACTGCATCTGTGATAAGGATAATCGGAACTCGTTCCAATTTACTTCCCCCTCTTCAATATCAATCTCAACGTTTTTGCCAAACCCTGCAGAATGGAAGGCTTTTTTCTTGGAAAAGGAAAACGATTGTATTAACGTCCATACAAAGCCAGGTTCAGACTGCAAGTCACAGTAAACAGAAAACCGTTCATTATCTGAATTTGAGATGTCGTATTTTCCTGATGTCGAGGCACCGTTCTTAGCTATGTCTTTGCAGCTTCTCGGATGTTTCATCTTCTCACACCGCTGACCAGAGTATGTGTTAGGACAGGTACAGTTAAACCTGGTGCTGTGAGTGTCACAAATCTCCCGACATGCCCCTCCATTGAGACAAGGATTAGTGCGGCAGCATCCGTTGATGCAACGATGTTTCTCAGGGATGTATTTCTCTCCACCCTACAGTAATATTTAGAGTTTTATTAGCTCACAATGTTTCTGTTGTGATGCCATTTTCTTTGAAAGCTCGTTGAATCGAGTTTTTACGTGCGCCTGATTAGCCAACGACAAATTGAGTGCATGAAGAACGAGTAAATGAATGAAGTCTGAGCTGTTACTTAAATAATCAACTCATTTGAGAAGAAACGAACCAATTAAAAGTTCTATCTTACCCTCACTGTGTAGCTTCTCACCAAAGCATAATAGTTTCCTCCTTGCCTCCATTTCATTGCCGCTGGCTCCATGTCTTTATTAGCATCGTTAAGCTCACAGTTATTCTCTTTGGACTGAGGAAAGTAGTTCATGGATGCGCACAGGCAGTCATCTTTGCACTTCACGTGACACTGGGCTGAGCCGCGGACTGTCGATCTTTGAAACACGTGACCCTCAAGAATGTGGTTAAAGACGACATCTTCGTCGATAACAAACTTGAAGTTTTGACAATTCACTGCTGGATGTGCCACGCTGGAGAGGGTCAGGTTGAAAACAAACAGCATGACTTGGAGATATTCAACGACGCCCATAGCAACGCTAGAAATAATACGAAGAAAAAAATATAGCATTATTCATCGAACAAACATGGGGTAATTTAAAACGAAATGAATAGATGTTTAGGCATCTTGCCTAAAAGTAACCTCCAGTGATAAAATTTCATCAGATCAAACATTTGTTTATTGATGGAAAATGTATTGATGTATAATTTTGATTTACCAGGAGACTGTTTTCCTAAAGCCTTAAAGTGCCGTTTTGAAAGACTATAAAGAGTGTGTTGTCTCGCGGTGAAATCAGTCTCAGGCGCAGAATCACTCATTTGCGGAATTTCGAAAACGAGATTAAGCAAACATTCGAGAGCAAACGAAATTGCTCCCTGGCGGTTTCAAACATGAATGCTCTACATAATAAGCTTTGAATATTCATAGCAGTTTACCAGAAGCTGACGCCAATTCAAAGTGTTGAAGAGATATCTTTGTACGTATAAAGAGCAGTTTATAAGGAATTGATTGTTGCTAAGATACCAAACTGAACTTTCTTCGTTGCCCAAGTTGTAATGCCGGGGAGATATTCTGATCAGTTCTTGATTATTTCAAATTGGTTTTAATGGCAAAATGGAAAAATTAAAAAATCGGTTTCAATCTATCTCTAGCAGTAGTTGCTAATTAAAAGTATAACGACTGTGTTAGGTTTACTACCGAAGGACGGTTCAAAGCTAAACGTCGAAGTTTTTCAAATCTCAAGAAAACAGGGATCATTTTTATCAAAAAGTGTTTCATCATGGCATTTTCTTTCCGACCTTCATCTATTACATAAAGGAATCTTCGAGGAATGTTCCGTAAAACGCAAATCTTTCAAGGTTTTCCTGTTTGTCCTTGACTCCTCACGCAGTCACAGGTGTAGCGTAAAAAACACGGTTTGAAAGTAAAAGGAGATCTCCGAGCCGTTTGTGTCAGAAACTCTATACCCATCATCGATTAGCAAAAGAACCCCTTTCAGCGATAAATTTAATGAGTTTCTATCCTGGACGAAATCAACTCTAAGTTTGATTTGGAATGTATTTTCACACTTAAATAATTAGTCTTCATTTAAGCGGGTCACGATTTTTTTTTTTTTTTTTTTTTTACCATAGGAGTATAGGATTATTGGTTTCTTTTGCATCTTTAAGGAAATTAAAGAAACCAAACCAGTCAGGTATAAGTCTAACAACTTTACCGAACTCCCGTAGTAACTGTAGGTTAAAAACACCGAACACCTGATTTAGGAAGATAATCTTTTAGGTTTGTCATTGTTATCGGTTTAAAAAACTTCTATTCTCCACTAATTGACTCGCTCAGTTGTTATCGGAAATTTTATTATCGGACAGTTTGCGGTTATGGGAAAGTTCAATAAGCCAATCACATTCAAAATTGTAGTTTAAATCAACCAATCACATTCAAAGTTGTAGTTTAAGATAATCAATCACAACCTTTGTTTCAATCACCATTTATAACTTTCATAACTTGGCTATTCTTCTTTTTTCTGAAATTGTAATTTTTATGATTAATTAGTAATAAGACTTCGTGTCGTCCAGTTCGGTCTGTAATCATACTCGTGATAAACAAATCAAACTCCTACTGCGCGGTCGTCTTCGCAGTCTTTCCACTCAAATCAGTGTATTTAAAAAGCAAGGTTCAGGGACTTTTATAACCTGTTTTATTTGGTTTTCATGGTAAGTATTTCATCTATGAGAGGGTAACTCACTTCAGGGAATTACTCGAACACCTGGATGTGTTACTTTGTCAAATTACCTCCCCGTCAAGGGGAGGGAGCAGAAAAATTGCAACTTTCCCTGCTACCCTGCTAAACTGTTCCGCCCTTGAAACGCACTCTCCATCAGGTTGTCTAGGAAGAAGCTTATAAAGCAGGCCTCAAGGAAAATAAAGTAGCTTCTCAGTTTTCTGGGCCTATTAATTCTGATTACAAAATATCGCCGCTAGGCACGCAAAATCCGAAAATGGCGTGATAAAGTGCAACAATCTCATTGGGATTTCAAACCACCCGTTAAAATCAGCTAAAATTAGCACACTACCAAAGCATAATAGAGACTCTTATTAAGCAAACCTGGACGGCGACGGCAACGAGAACATGGCTAAACAAAGGACTTAATGAGTAGAACAATAGCGCAGCACGTGCTTTTACAGATTTTTTTTTCTTCGTTTTTTTCGTTTTGAGAGTCTTTTTTTTTCTTTTTTTTTTCTTTTTTCGCAAAGGACGGCTAGGAGAGTCTCTTAGCCTTCCTTTGCAAAACGACGTGAAATCACCAAAATTTTTCTGGTCTGGGAACAGGAACCCCAACGGCGAAGGCTACGAGAACGTGGCAAACTTGAACAGATTTAATGAGCAGGAAAATAGCTCAGCACGCACAAAATAAGATTTTTTTATCTCTTAGTCGTCCTCTGAAAAAAGGCACTGTGAAATCACCAGTTCGCCGTCCGGGAACAGAAGCCCCGACGAAGAATATTAACGTCTCTATTTGGAATTCAACACCGCTCAAATACGTCAAATTAGCTGAAGCTAAGGTCCGGCGTCCTTAAACGCTGTTTACTCGCGAACTCTTACGGAATTATGAATCAATCACCGCTTTTAATCTCAACTTTTCTCGGCGTTTCCGTCCTACTGCTTAAGGTACCTAGTTCAGTGCAACTCTGTTTGGTTTACTGAGGCGTGGCTACTTTTCAGTTCCATCGGAATCAGAACAACAGAAACTTGATGAGTTATTTTTTGGTTCTCCTTTTTCAAGAGACATAAACAAGCGGTCGATATGCATTTCAGGGAAACGAGTTTTCAACTTCTTTTCATAAGTCGTGGCGGGAGATATTCTGTAATATGTCTTTTAATTGTCTCTTTTTGTAACATAATTATGTCAGTAATGAAAATAAAAATTTGTCAAAGAAACCCTTTAAAAAAGAAACAAAAAGAGCTCTTCTCAATATCCTAGAAACCAATGATTCTTACATGGAGCCTAATGAGATAATGCTAAAATTCAAACACAGAAAAATGGAACCAAATTGAACCAGTTCTACAATATTTTTCGTACACTTAGAAACGCTAAGACTTTTTCTCCTTTACAATTGAACATCCGTCATTTTCCTTTTTTTTTTTTCTTTTCTTGTGTATCTTTTTGTCTTTTTATGTCATATTTTTTCATTTCTGTTTTATTTCCAGAGTAATTAAATTAAGTTAGTTAAGGAAAAAAATTGACCCGTGTCGATTAGCATTTGCTGTCTGCGGGTCAAAGGAATATCTCGTAAATATGTTTGAAAATAAAAATAAAAGTGTGAAGTGAAGTGAAGTGAAGTGAAGCGAAATAACAAAATGCTTGAATATGGGTGGTTATTTTTGGCTTAATCAGTGTCTATTTCAGTCCAAACTGTCCAATTTCACCTGTCCGGTTACAAACACGCAAAAACACAGATCTACCCTGCTGCGCTTTCAGAGTTTTCTTTAATTCCATTCAAAAGAGTATCTACTCGAAGCTTTGTATCAAAATTCGTTGTCTCTCAATTAAAAGGAATGAAATTGACCACAGTTGCGTAATTTTCCAAAGAGGAATTGAGTTTGTTACAGTTAAATAGCCTGAAAAGAAGCAGGTGAAGAATTAGCACGAGCTGCTGTTTATTTTGGTTATTCTTTAGCTCTATGTTCAATTCACAAGTGCCTCGCGCAACCTACCTAGTAAACCTTACCTCCGAAAGTACCTTTCCTTTTTAACAAGTCTAATCTGTCTCTGATCTGGATCATTCTTGGAAGAGCTTTCGATAAAGACAAAGAATACCTATGTGCCCACCCAAAAACATCAAGCCCTTGTGCTCAGCAAATTGTCTTCCAATTTATCTGTTAGAAACATTTCCGAGCCGACAAACGTGCTATGAATGATGTCTGTTGTTATCAAAATCAAACCTAGATGTAAAAGCGATTTGGTGATAAACTGTATCTTAGCAAACCAATTTACAAAGCAGATGATTTCTTGCAAAAATAACTGGCGGAAATTGCTAGAATTTTAAGAAGAGGCGTGCCTTTTGGGAGTGACAGAGTTTCATTTAGCTTCAAACCCTACTCGGTACTCTACAAAGCGACAAGCGGTTTTCTAAGAAAAGAACTTAGGGGGAAGAATAAGGATCGCACTTTGCGTTTTTAGAAAATAACTTTTAAGACATACAGCGAGGTGAACTTTCATCGTAGGATTTATACCCTATATACATGATGCAAGGTGAGTGATCGTGTATTTCGCTCAGAGACCTAACGCTTTGTACTCGGTGAGAAAATTAAAGAGAAAGATACTTTTGGCCTTTACTGCTGTTATCCAATAAAGCTTGTAATGAAAACTTACGCACAGACAGTTGCATTAACTTTAAAATTTTTGCTTTTAGATTGATTGTAAATCTACATGTGTATACTTATAGTTTTATGGCTGTTCAAGAAGGAATGATATCAGCTTACCTCTTATTACTCTTGTGGTCTGTGTTCTTCTTCTGAGGAAAGCCGTGTTGGAATAGCTGAGGAAAATTCTTTCACTTTCTTTTTAATAATTTGTGGGAGGAGATATGCTTTATTATATGTCCTTTAATTGTCTCTGGAATAGTGATCACAGACGAAACGGGAAATGACTGAGGGGGGTAAGTTTCTAATTAAAGAGACTGTGGAGCTGTGTCGTTTGGGGGGCATGAAAAGATAATTTTGTTTTTTCAGCTGCTTAACTTAATTTGGCGTTTCCGGTTACGAGTGTTGGAAACGGGCAGGTGAAATCGGACAGTTTGGACTTGAATGAGCTCATCAAGCCACAAATAAGAGCTGTATTACAATTACAATCAAGCCTTTTTTATTTACACGATTATGTTTTGAATTATTTTGGTTTTATCAACTGAGTTGATAATTTAAATTGACCATCGTAGAGAGTTTCTAAAAATGACTTTTTGTAAAGTTAGCCCTTCGTCCAGGCGAAGGGCTGACATTTGAAACGTCTGCTTTTAGAAGCTCTCTACGATGGTCAATTTTCATTATCAACTCATTTGATAAAACTAAAATAATTCAAAATATAATCGTGTAAATAAAAAACGCTCGATTGTAATTCAGCTCTTATTTGTGGCTTGATAAGCTTTCAAGTCCAAACTGTCCGATTTCACCTGCACGTTTCCAACACATTTAACCGGAAACGCCAAATCTTGCAGTCAAGCAGCCTATAAATATTAAGCACTCAACATCAACTACTACACGAAGGCAAGTCGAACTACTGACTAAGTCCCTACCATTTTAAGCCCACTGCCTCAAAGCCAAACGGAAAAATTCTACCCCTATAACTAGATCGACTGCTTAAACTCAGAGACTTAAACATCTCAGGAAAAATCTATCGCATGTAGGCGAACACACTTCCAACGGTTAACTCTTCAACTTCCGAGATTTGATTTTTAATTCTCCCTTCTTGCTACTACGTGTTTGCTTGGAAATTAGTTATGAGAATTTGGAGTTAGATCAAGATAACAACTTCCTGATTAGTTTGCGTATTCTTATTACTTGCTTGTCCTGTAAGGTACGGATATTTTAGGAAGAAGTTACATGTTAATCACTTCTGGCTGATAAAGGGTTAAAGTCAAATTATTATAAAAGTTGGGCTTTGTAAGTAGAACGTTGGCATTTTATTCACTCCTTCTAAAGCGTGAACGAATGCTCCGCAATGAGAAATCACTATGTTTTGCACGGATTACTGCCCACACAAGAATCATGGTGATATAATGACCTGTCCAACTAAGTCGTTTTATTTGACGAGGCTACCGTTTCAACAGCAGTAAGAGGGTTGCGTAAATAGCCGATATAACACAATTTCCGTTACAAAAGCTATACGTGAATTTGAGAGTTAAATCAAAATATTTTATAAATTTTCTCTGATGGCAAAGTGAATATCGTCTAGTAACTCCCGAGTGACGAAATATGGGGGGTTAGACTCGATTACCAGCTGCTGTCTGGAAATGAGCCTGCGCAAAAACATCCACGTAACCTAGGAAATATACAGTCACATGACAATCAAAGAAAATGCATTTTCTAAGCATAGCCATTTTTTGTGTGTGTGTTCATTTCTATCCCTTACCTTCAGAAAAAAATTTTAAAAATAATAAAAAAAAACAAGGCAACCGGATTGCAAATTAGGGCCTACATATTAGTAATCAGGTAGTAAGCGACCGGTCGTTGCGACAATAGGAGGGAAAAGTCTCAGCGTCAATTCGCAAGGTGTGACATGAAAAATTTTGTAAAAAACCTGTCACTGCGACATCAATTATCAACGCAATAAGTCGCACGAATTTGTGTACGATGATCCCGACTGCAAAAACGTCGCTGCTTCTTGCTTTGGGAAGAAAAAAATTCATTTTGCAGTTTGTCACACAGACCTGTCACAGCGTTTCAGCTTTGCAGAATGACATGATCTCTACCAAATTAAAGCGCACGCTTCTCTTTACTAGAATGAATAATTTTACAAAAAACATCGTGAACTCTCTATGGGATATAAGGACTAATCTTCCATCTAATACTACCAAGTAGCAAATAAAACTCTTAAAAAATAAACAAACACATCTACTTCAAATAACATGGTAATAGTTTTAACTTTTTTCCTAAAATACTTGGACAATAATGACTCCAAAATAAATCTCAATTTTTCGTTTTCTTTTAGATGAAATTCTGTATCTTTTCTTGCTAGGATCCTAAGTAGGTTACTTTCCCACCCTACGACAGGGTCGCTTATAACAATACGTCAGGGGAGGGACAGGTCGCTTTTGACTTTTCTCTCACTGGGCGCTGGACATGGACGAGAAGGCAAGTTTAACTGTGAAGATGGTTTTTGCAGCTGAAAAGGAAAAAAAAGGATTAGATCTGAAAATTTAGAGCAAAATAAAGAATGAAAAAAAAAGAAGCGTTCGTCACGAACGAAGAAAATGTTATGCACACAAGCTTGACAGGCACGAACATACTGTACCTGGATCACGAATCACGTAATGATTGCACGCTGCCAGTGCCTCAAGGGCCTGGGACGGGCTGTTCCATTCTAACAGACCTGCCGCTGACCGCGAGGCTGCGAATAAACAAAACGGTACAATTGCATGTGAACATCGGCTCAGAAATTTTTTCTTTTCTTCATATTTTTCTGCTCCGCCTCACGATTTGAACAGCTTCATATCAGCGAACGCACACATCTTCATTACATCGCCCGTGTTAAGCGAAAGTACGAACATCTCGAATAAAGAGAACTGAATCATCTGAAATCGTCGACACAACTGAGGTAGAGTGACCTACACCAAACCCCTTAACGAGGTGACTCCTTAACATGAAAGCATATTTTTTGTTGTGGCAAGGAAAGTCTAAAATAGAGACATACCATTTGGAAAGACTTTAACAGCAACGGGCGGCTCCACGCCACAATTTGAACACATCTAGAAAAGCATAAAGAAATTGGTGATTTTCTTCGTTTATTTAAATACTTAACTAACTTTCTTTCATTCCAAAAGGAAGTCCATCATGTGGGACATGTGGGATACTATGGTGATGAATCAATACTCAATCTGAACCTTCGAGCGTGTGCCCTCCAAATGCTCTCAATCTGAGTCGAACCTAATACAAAAGAGCTTACCTCTGTCACTTTTTCTGTTTCAAAGTCTGGCGGGGCATTAAAAAAGTGTAATACTTTCGTTGGAGAAAATATACCTGTCACTAAGTCAAAGACAAATCACAAAACCAAACTTAAGTGTAAAGAACGGCTACGAAAAAATAAGGCAAAGGAATAAAGCTGCTGACACCATAGGGTTCTGATTAAATGATAATCTTAAAGCGAAGTGAACAAAGAGGGTAAGTTTCTAAAGAAACTGTAGCGCTGCGTCGGTGGTGCGTCCCAAAAAATTGTTCAGCGGGACTGCCCCATAACATTAGCGTAATAATAGCGATTGTTATGCTGAAGTCGAGGTCTAGCGCCGTTGAGAAAGCAAACACAACCTGCCCTTGGGAATTTCTTAAAAGAAAAATCCACTTTTTGATCGACATATCCCTCCACGTTGCCGTTCTTATTGTTTACGCTCTGCAATACTACTGATCAACGACCTCGATATATTTCTACATCCTAAAAGTGTTAAAAATAAATAAATAAAGGATACGATTCTTGCTGCTTTGTTCCGGTGTCCAAAACCTTTGATTCTTGGAATTTGTGTAAGTCTTGTAACATGGAGTTCCGTCTGGCAAATCTGAGACAGTCGACGCATCTACAAGGTACTTTTGCTTGGAAAAACTGCAATGAAAATAAACCAGTTCGTGAAATTTTCAGTTGGTGTGAAAAGCAATAAAAGATTAAATTGGTTCTGCTTCACTGGGCTTAGTAAACGCTCCTAAGTTCTCGCACCACTTTCTCAACCAATCAGATGCAAACTGAGACTACCAGCGATTTGGTAGCAAGCGTTTTCCCGCGCAAAAGGCCGTTCACACCTGTTTACTTTAGTTCTAATTGACTCGCGCCTATCTCATTAGAGCGTCTTTTAATCGGGTGACGTAAAACCAAAACCAAAGTAATAACAATGGGAAATCAGAAGAAAGTAAAACAACTTTAAGAGCCAATGTGAAATAAAAATGAAAACTATAAACAACCAAACTGCACAAAGCGCGGGAAAACGCCGGCGACCAAGTCGCGTTTGGTGCAAGTTTTGAATCTGTTTGGTTCAGAAAGTGAAGCGGGTTTTTTTAGACCATAACGAAATAAAGAAAAATCAAAGCAATCCCGGATTACTTTCAAGACTGATTGAAACTTGTTCTCGCAAACTAACCGACTGACCTGAACTCTAACTGTTCACCGAACAGTTGCTGGTTCCTCAGACACTGAATGACAGTGTTACAGGCCACGTGGTCACTCAACTCCACCATGGCTGCTCCAGGCTTATTCATCAAGAACTTCACCTGAAACATCATATTTTTTCAATCACAACAGTCTTGTAACCCTGGCTTTTCTCTTTAAGTCATTTAACGTGCTACATTTCTCTCTCTATCGCCACACAGGACCACCCGCTGGGTTTCACTCAAAGTCGTTTAACGATGGTCTACCGCTGCTCATAAAACCTCCCAACGCCGTCTGTTTGGCCAGCAAGCAGGCTCTCTTATTTGGGTTTCGCCTTCTTACGGTCATTTACAGCTGTTCTGCTGATTGGAAATTTCGTGTTGGAGAATGAAACAAGGGGAAACAAGCCGTTATTTCGACCTGCAAATTACTGCACGCATCCCAGACAAATTCAGTTTGTCAAAAGTTACATAAGTTAAGAAATGGCAGCCAAACAGAACCATGCATTGAACAACTAAACCCAGAACAAAAGTTAACCCTTTAACCCTTTAACTCCCAGAAGTTATTAACATGTAACTTCCTCTTAAGAGGGTCTCAATGGGGTGATGGCTTTTACGGCTATCGGTTAAAATTTTGGCCAATTTCCGGCTGACGGTTAACACCTTTCCATTGTTTCCGCCAGAGATATTTTTTACGGTTAACTTTTTTTAACGACTAACGGTTAAAATTTGTCAATTTTTACGTCTAACGGCATATTTTGGCCGTTTTACGGCTAACGGTTAACCCCATTGGGACCCTGAGCCTCTCTTAAGACATCCACACATTATCCAGCAAGCAGGTAACGAGAGTATTCAAACTTATCAGGCAGAAATTGTTATCTTGATCTAACACTAAATTCTTAAAACTAGTTAACAAGGAAACGTGTAGCAGCTAGAGGGGAGAATTAACAACGATCAGATCTTGGGAGTGAAAGTGTTAAAGCTTACAACGCCTCTTGAGCGAACATTTAAATGTACCTTGAGGACATTTCCATAGCAGCAAAGAATATTGAAAACTCTGTCGCAGTTCATCTTGTGCTGATGTAGTCCATACACCATCAGAACACAACCTCCTGCCATAGGTGACTGCTGTAGCAAAGGCCTAGGCCCGCGCATCACCATTCCCCCTCGGCCAGGATATGGCCCGCCTGGGGGGCGACTTAGTAGACCTTCTTTCATAGGCGGTCTCACTCCAACAGCACCTGGAAAACAACAAATGGATTAAACACAAATAGAAAACAAACTTACTTATTTACTACATGGTGCGCAAAATAGGGGCTGGTTTTCAAACGTCGGAAAACCATTTGACGAACAGAGATTTCAGATGTTGCCGATAGAATAAAGTAAAACTCGGCGAAATATCGAGAAAATAAAATTCCTGCTCGTGTTTTAACCCCAATGATACGGATTTCTATGATTTCAAATTTTTATCAGAAAAATGATCTAAGGAAGTCGAAGAGCAGTTTGCATCCCCGACAGAAAGGGGCTTTTCGACAGTTGAAAACCAGCCTTTCCCAGTGCCCCTAAGAGGGAGATATTAACTGGGAAAAGGAAGACTATAACATTTTTCCTGATAAAATTAATGACACATTGAAGTCTCAAATGTAGTCATATGTACATTTACCACAAGTGTCTCATTTTTTCCTATTGATCTGGAAAATATTCTTCAAATCAAGAAAAAAAATTTTTATAGTAAAAAAATCCTTCAAATCATTTGTATATATGTGTGTGTATTTATGAAAAGTTTTGTTGTGTTATTTGCAACACAATAGTCAATGAAGAATGCAAATACATTTTGAACCATAATAGAGTGATAAATTCATGTACAGCTCGTCATACACTCCACAAAAATTGAAAAAAAAAAACATAGGAACAAAGTTTGTCCACCGGATATGTACGACAGATATTCCAAATTGGGATTTGTTATTTTTGGTGGTAAAACCAGTTTTTCGACTTAGTTTTTGACCCCAGATATTTCAAGGAAATCACAGAGGACAAAGGCTGAACCTGAACAATTCTTCACTAAAGGAATGATCTCACAACAAGTCTTCTTTCCGTGAAATGTTACATACAAGCAGGAATGTCAGAAATAGTTCTATCACAGACATAAGCAGAGCAAATCAAAAAACGTTCGAACAAAAGAGGACAAAACGATAAATGCAGCTTGTTTGTGAACAATCGCCATTAACTCTTTTGCTCCTAAGATCTTATTTGTACCGGCAATTCTCCTTACTGTCTGCCATTCCATTCGTTTGATGTTTCTCGGGAGAATTTGGTTTTGGATCCACTAACAATACCCTTATTGATAGTTTCCTTAATTCTCGTCACTTGTCTGCTTGATATTGTAATGGTATTGTAAGGAGAAATTCTCTCTTGGTCACACATGCGAGTTATTGATCATGAATTGTGGAAGCAGAACGGAGACAAAGGACACCCAGCGTGTACAAATGTATTAAAAAGGTTCTGCATGTTAGCGTTGTGCAAATAAATCAAAATATTAATTTAAAGTACATGACACCAAGAATATTCTCGGTAAATCTATGAAGTACCGTAATGATTCGATTTAGCGCCCTCCTTCCAATAAGTGCCCCCTCTCTGATATGCGGCCCCCTTCAAATGTTTCTGTTAAAAGACGCCCCTACCAAATAAGCGCCCTTGTTGAGCAAGCACCCTCATTCCAATAAGTGCCCCTTTTCTGTGTCAGTAGCAGCACTAAAAATAGTACACGTAAATTGAATTCAACCAAGGTCCACTTTCCTTTAATTGCTCACTTACAGCCTCATGACCAAAAAATGATCTTCGTCTTAGTCTCTCAACTATCATGTTTCCGTGAGAGCACAGTTCCTTCAAACAAAAGATCATGTCTTAACATTTTGCGACAGTTGCTTGGCTAGTCGTTCTAGCAAAGAAGGATCCACAGACAACAAGTCCGTTTTCCAGTCTCTTTGATTCTCAGTCACCTGAACATCAAAGCTTTGTTTCACAATCTGCCGTGTCTCAAAAAGGGAATAAACGCCCTGTCCCTAATAAGTGCCCTGTCTCGAATAAGCACCTTCCCTTAAGGTACCAAAAGTAAATAAGCGTCCTGGGCGCTAACTCGCATCATTACGGCAAACATGTAAATGAATTTAAAAGATAAATATGCGTAAACAAAATTAAGTATAATTGAATCCTGCTAAGGTTGTGCAGAAGGGATTTTTTTTTCTTGAAATGTCTTGTGCACAAGAATATATGGTGTAAAATGACCAAAACAACTATTTGCATGCATTGATATAAAAAAAAAAAAACATGCAAAAAGGCCAAAATCAGTACATGTACCTTCAGGAACTTACTTAAAACCCTTGTGGCTGTCATCAGCCCTCAACTGCATCTCAAACTAAAACTAAGATTGGGATGTACATGTATGGAGAGATGGACTGATTTAAAGCGCAGTGGGGCTTGTTGTAAGCTTTGAAACCAAGAATATTAGTACTTTTTGCCAAATAAACATGATAGTCAAAACACCTTCAAATCTACAATAAAAATAAGCAATGATGTTTCTATTTGGCAAAATTAGAATGCTCTGGGCTTGGGATTATCCAGAAACCTTTGAAATCTATGATTAAAAAAAAATTAGGCAAGATTGGAATGCTCCAGGGGTTGGGGTAGTGAAGCTGCTATAAAATAACTAAGTGATGATTATTATTTGGCAAAATCGTAACACCCTGGGCTTGAGATCCATAGAACTCATGTAGCCTGTTGCCCTGAGCTAATGAGAAATATCAATTCATTTTGCCATTTCTAACTTCTTATTAACAAAACAATTGGCTATGTAAAATACACAGGGTTCTAAAAAGCATCACAAAAAAAAATAGAAGGAAAACTCAGTACAGGAAACAAAACAATAAAATATCAAAGGTAGATGCAAAACTGAAACTCCCATTGTCACCACAGAAAATGACTAACAGTACACAGTTTGTGCAATAATCTTTTTGTCCAATAGTGTCAATAAATTTTGCATTGGTACTCTGTAGTACATGCACATTCATATACTATTTTTGGCAATTTAACAACAAAGATCTTTGTAGTTCTTAATTCTGCTTTGCACTATTGAATGTTATTCTTCCCATTTGATGTTTACATATCTTTGTGATAATATTATTATGGACAACAAAGATCAAGTTATCAACCCACCATGTGCTTTGTCTTCAGTATAGTCAAATGTTTCCTCATCGTTCTTGTACACATTCAGTGATGTAGCCTAAAAAAAACTTTCATTACCCTTTACTACACAATTACTATTCAAGCTTTATGTACAGTAAAACTAGCAAAGAAAATGTCACAGTGCATAATCAAGGTTACATGTAGAGTATAACTAGAATAACACTTATTTCTTAAAAAATCAAACATCTTGGTGCATAATATCCCTTCCTAATATGTTCTGGTGGCAGTATTTTTTATTTACTAATTACTTATTATGCATTTTTAAATAAACACTGTTGGCTCTATTGCTGTGGTAATAGTCACCATCTCTGGTGTCACTATTGTTGTCTTCATCATTATTAATATTGTCCTCATGGATCCCTGTAATTGTCCTTGTCATAGCCATTGCCATTTGTCCTTGTCAGCATTATCATTGTAATTAACATGATCATATCATTGTAATCATCATTATCATTTTTGTAAAAAGAATAAGAGACATGGTAAGTTTTGAGCTCTGTAAAGAAATAGAGAAAGAGGTTTTTTTTTCTTCTTGTCACAAGCATGGGATAAAGAAAAACTCTGAGTCCCTATGAGGAATTGAGCCTCAGACCATCAGATTCCATGCTCCAATGCTTTACCATTAAGCCACAGAGACTCTATGGGAGCAAGGCCTATTACAAAGTTCATATGACACACGTCTTGCATACTGCTAGGATCAAAATGTCAACAGTGTCATGTTTGTAAATAGAATAAGTTTTGAGCTCATGGGGACTCAAACTTTTTTCTTGTTCCACCCTCTTAAAAAGACAAAAGACATCTTTCTCTATCATTACCATTGTCATCATCCTTAATATTATCATTCTCGTCCCTGTCAATGTCAGTGTCATTACAGTTTATCATCATCATAGTCCTTGTAATTGTCCTTGTCAACATTGTCATCATCATTATCAGTCAATGTCATCATCATTATCATGTGCTGTTCCAAAAATCTAGTTTACTGTTGCATATACATGTACTGGTCACTGGACCAAAAGGACACTATTAACATATCATATTAATCAGATTTACCCTTGAGTATTCTATTTTCAGTGTGTTACAGCCAGTGTAAATATCAGCACTGTTTAAAACATCTTTAGCCTGTTGGGCTTGGTCCACAGTAGCAAATCTGGTGTTCAATCATTGTCAAGGAATTCAAAATCATTAACCCTTTACACCCTAACATGAGTAAGTATATTCTCCCAAACTGTTCTCTATACATTTTTTATGGTACTTACAAGGAAAATTTGTTGAGAAACCAAGAGCTTCTTGAGTTTGCAATAACTTCTTTTTCCTAATGAATTTAATGTTTGATTCATGGGTGATACAGGCATGTGCCTAAAGCACATGTAATACCTTGGGATTACCTCTATACACACGTCAAATGAGTGAAGTTCCTTACATGCAGTAGAAAAGGTGCTGATAAGGAGAATTTGTTAAACAATCAAGAGCATCTTTAGTTGGTGATCTTTCTTTTATTCTTGTGACATTAATAATTATTTAATTGGCAGCTGATATTGTAAGAAGAATTTAGATGCCAGTCACTCTCAGGGGTCAAAGGTTTAAAGAATTTTTACAGTTAAGCCTGATCAAGTGTTTTTCAAATGGAATGAAAATGTAACCTTCCATGTGGAAATGGACTCTACCAAATTTGCTAAAATCTCTACTGATTGGAACAGGTTGTGACACCCCTTCCAATAAACTTGCATGCATACTTTCCACTGGAATACATGCAAGTAGGAGAATTTGATTTTAGCAAAGGATACTCAACCATAGCCTGCAAACCACTCTTCCTGAAAATGACAATCCTTAATACCTGGCCTTGTTTACTGAAGATTGTGTGCAGAATGTCCTGGAAGTAAAAGCAATGATAATGTACCAGCAATCATTTATATTGATTCAAGTAGAGCAAAACTGCTCATTACAAGTTGGTTGACAACTGGTGCACTTTGTCAGTTGCTTTAAAGGGTTCCAGTGCTATTCAATCACCTATGTGTTGAGCTGAGATCTTAAAAATTCACTCTGAAGACTTGATATGAAGCATCAGACATGGAAAACAATATAACCAGTGCTCGAATTCAGCCACAGTCCATTAGTCCTAGAATGGAAGATATTGCCTCTAGACTAGTATTTAATCTTTGGGCCACTCATCACAGGACTGTATATTTTTTTGCAATCTTTACCGAACAGTGGAACACAAGTCTCACTACTAACTGGTTCTCTTCATTGACTTATTATCTGTGGTATAATTAAGCTGCATCAAATTTAAAAATCACAAATTCGAATTCTGCAACACTATGCAAAGACAATGAAAGATTTCTGAAAACTAGCAACTGTTCAGCTCTACTAGTCCCTGGAGTAATGATGAAAAAATTTTACGGTAGAGCACTGATGACTAATATTTCTAACAGGAGAATATGCCAACACAAACTCCACTTACTGTTGTTATGGGATATTGAGGGTTAATAATGGTGATCAAAAGTATTCTGTTTGGGGGAAGCTCTTGCTGTATATGCAGGTTTCTGTGGGGAAAAAAATTAGCAAAGTTATGTTTTTTTGCACAGAAATTCACTCTTTTAGAAACATTTCAATAGTTTTTACATTTTTATTTTGAAAGATGTTTTATATGGTTACACACATCTCTAACAGTAACAAAAAAGATTGAAAAAGGATTCAAACTTGAAACAACCCAAAAGAGCGCACATGATTAATTAAAATCACAAGTCAACTTAACCCTATACAATGTAACTTCTGTATGCATATTCTCCATTCTGTTCTCAATATGTTTTCTGCTCCTCTTTTTTATTCTTGAAACCTTACAGTGCAATTCATTGGTGATAATGCAAGAGGAAATTGGATGCTGGTCAATCTTGGTTTGAAAAGGAAAGAGAGAAACAGTGGTCCTATGACAGAATGCTATTGTCTTAGTTGGGTTATGTACAGCAGGAAATATTTGGCTCCTTGTCATGATATACAGACCTCACTGCTCTTGGTCTGTGCATCACAACCTTGATCCAGAGAGTTTCCTGTCTACTCCAGTTCATCTTCTAAGCCTTTGACCCCTGGAGTAACTAGTTTCTATTTTCTCCTTACAATATCACCCTCAAGCCATACATTAAGGTCATGAGAATAAAGGAAATGATCACCAACTAAAGAAGCTCTTGATTGTTGAACAAATTCTCCTAATCAGCATCTGGGAAACGTTTAGAGAACAGTATGGAGAATATGCTTACTGATATTAAAGTATATAATACATAATCTTTCTCTTACTTGGAAATACTCTTGCTCTTTGAAAAGTTGAAGTAAGCAGGTCTTCCACTAAGCACAATTGTCTGTCCACCCTAAAAGGTAAAAACCAGATTAAATAGTGGAAAGTTTTTTTTTTTCACACTTCCAACAAAATCACCATCCAACCATATTTTGTGCATCCTTGCTGCATTTTGCTCAAAACACTTTTCAATAGTTCACAAAATACCTGTATGTTGTTGTTTTTTCACTTCATCATAGTTCAAATGCACTTTTTTAACCTTCTAAAATATTTATAATAAAATATTTTATCTGTCTTTTGAACTTAAATTTTGAGAAAGAGTAATATACTGTAGAAATCCTGAACCACACTATATCCATTTGTCTTTGACCAACCGAGAAGGAGGTGCATTTTGCTTGATGCTCTTAATTTTCCTCCCCTCTTGGGGCTTGGAAAAAATTGCACAACTTGCAAAATATCTGAGTGTATTTTATATCAAACCATTAAATAAGGTGTATATAATCTAGCAAGATTTACCTGTGTATAATCCATCAGAGATTTTGCTGATGAAACCTCCTATAATGAAAATGAATACCTGTCAGCAATGGAAACTGCAAAGTTTAACTAGTTTGAAACCATTTTTACATAAGTTTTGTTTGAAATTACAACATTTCCTCTTAGACATTTTGCCTAAACAAGAAAATCCTTGGTGGAGTTTCTCTCTTCAGAGAAAATTCATGTGGATTACACTGTACTTATCCTGTATTAAAAATTGTTGATAAACCATGAATGATATAGGTAGCATATATGTCAACAACTTACAATTAAAAAAAAAAAAAACATCCGGACAAAAAAAAAAAAAGTGGAGGGAGCTTTGGTAAAATTTCCACACAGCCCCATATGACATTATGCATTCAGTTCTTGGATAGAGAAAACAACGACAAAAGCAATACATTGCCATTGGAAAAAAAGATTTGTTTAACAATAGTATAGGCTATGCAGAAATTTTACCGGGAGCTTTATCGAGTGTCTACAGTTGCTTTGCGCACAAAAAAGAGAGAAAATGAAGGAGGGGAACTTAAAGATGAAAAATGAAATCCTCATCATGTTGGTCTGTGTTGTTATTAATAGATGGTGAATAAAACACGTAGGCGAATACTGGATAATACAGAATATCACGATCCTTGTTTTGAGAGCAATATCATGGCAAATTTGCCAGTGAGAGGCCCTAAACGAAGCTAAAATTATATCAGGAAATGTTGTAACTTACGTCAAATTCCACTAACGCTTGTCGCAGTTTCGGCATCATTGTCACACAACTAAGACGAAAAACAGGATTTTATAACAGAAAAGAATCCAGTATGTGCACAAAAGGCTGTAAGATATAGGAGTTGCTCGAACATTACCAGATGGTCAATTTCAGCGTAATTAAATGACAGCATAAAATTTACTTCGCTATAATTAATTGAGCGCAGGATCGATCCTTCGGTTTGACGCGGGATATAAAAGGCCTTGTTTTAACATTTATCCAGGTATTTTCAGACATCAATTTCGCCTCTTGAGTGAGAAAAACAGGGAAAATAACGACCCTCTTTCAGTTGTAATATACCTGATTGAACCGAATGTTGACAAAGCGTGCATCAAATCTTGTTCGCGGGCTTCATCAGCAACCCCACGCACATGAATGACTGGCGAGGGATCCGTATAGTGCGGATTCCCACCACCTCCAGCCTGATACGTTCTATGAGCCTCGCCTGACGCAAGTTTTTGCCGCTTGAAACCACCATTTTCGTACCCACTTTCGGCATAACCCTCATCACTTTCGTGAAGAGCATGTTTTTCCGCCATGTTGGTCTTACGATCATACCCACAATGCTCTTCTTAAAAAATTGACGCACCAGCGATCAAGTTGGACTGCGGTCATACGGCGGGAAATTTTGAACCTAACGCTTTGTTCATGTTGTCGTTCGTTTCTCAGTAAAAGTGTAAAATTTTAGCTTCATTTTCTTCCTCCTACAGTCTCCGGAAGATAGCTCATTTTTGAAAAATGGAGGCAAGCTCTGATTCCTCCAATCCTAATGAGTGGGAGTTGAGTAAGGAGAACGTACAGCCCTTGAAACAAGGGCGCAAGTTGGCGAACTTGACAGCAGCGTTCGCTCCTAGTTCTGTTGATCAGAGTAGAATTCATAAAGAGAAACGGTAAGTTTTTTCATAATAGATCTTCAAAAGAAGAACCTTGTCGATCAAAAAAATTTAATTGTATCCTTTTCGTTCATCTTAGAGAGTTTGAAGCACAGATCAGAACGTATGAAGGCGAAGATCCATTAGCTAACTGGTACAGGTATGTGATTCAAAATACAAATCACCTCGGCATGTGCTTTCGTGCATCACATATAGAAGTTAAAACGTTGTAGAAGTTATGCTGTAGCTTACGGTTGTCTTTATGCTAACAGGTACATAGTTTGGACGAGTGAAAACTTTCCCAAAGGCGGTAAAGATTTGGGAAGTTTACTCGAGCGGTGCATGACAACGTTCAAAGATGAAGAAAGATACAAGAACGATGAACGATACGTGAAAGTCTGGTTGCGTTATGTAAGTAACATCGAAGAATTTAAAAAATTAATACAATCCCGGCATTTCATCAGGGTAACCTAACAGTTCACTGGTACCCATTTATACTCCTGGGTGGAGAGAGGCATTGTGTAATTGAAGTGTTTTGTCCAAGAACACAACGCAACACAATGATCCTCTCTCTCAACTTGGGCCATGTTATTCAAAGCTGAGTTAAGATTATTCATGATTAATATAAAATCTAGTTATAGATCTGAAAGCTTTAAAAGAAAATTCAGTAAATTTATTTTTGTCTAGAATTTGAATATTGGACACTCTTAAATGAATAAAGAAAATTATCCCAAAAAAAGGCTTTTGAACAAAAGAATAAAGAATCCTTGGATTAGCGATTGTTGACCTTTGAACAACTGGGCCTTGGGTGCAAAGAGGCACAATAACCTGACCTCTTAACCCTTTCACTTCCAAGATATCGATTGTAATTTTTCTTACTGCCCAATCTATGATTACTATAATGTTATGTTGGAGAATTTGGTATTGGATCAACTAATAATTCCCTTATTGTTATTTTTTCTTAACTCTCATCACTTGTCTGCTTGACACTGTATTGATATTGTAAGGAGAAACTCTGTCTTGGTCACTCTTGGTAGTTAAAGGGTTGACCCGGGAGTTCAGTGCACTAACCATCAGGGCAACACATCTTCTGGTAAAGTTTCTACACAGCCCCATATGATTGTAGAACAAATCTGCTTTCCCAATGGAAATGTATTGTTTTTGTAATTGTTTTCTCTATTCAAGAACTGAATGCACAATGAAGAATAGGGCTGTGCAGAAATTTTACCCATCTTCCAAACATTTGGTAAAGTGAATTATGGTCAACTCGCCGACAGACCATCTCGCCGATGTATAAAATCGAGTAGAGACGCCAGCGAGTTGGTCGTCAATCCAATACAACTTATTAGAAGTTAAACATACAGAAAATTAAACAATATTTAGTAAAAAAACACTGGTGAACATTGGTGAACATCAAACAGAAGCTGTTTGAAAAACAGAAGTTGGTCCGTCAGCGAGTTGACTGGTTACCGGTAAGTAAGGATATTGGATTATGCCATGTTGTTGTATTTTTAAAAAAACAAGTATTTTTATTTTCTTCTAGACTGACATTTGTACAGATCCCTTGGAAATTTTTAACTACATGCACAGTCAGCAGTTAGGCAATGGATTAGCTCTCTTCTATGAAGCATGGGCCCTTAGTCTTGAAAACCTTGGAGATTGCAATAAAGCTGATGAAGTACTAAACTTAGGAATTCACCGGAGCGCTCAACCATTGGAAAGACTTCAGAAACAACACAAGTAGGTCAACACAGTCTAATGTCTTGTGTATGAAGATGTCATGTTTCAATTCTTGAATTAGCATTGTGTAAGATCTGTATGCTTTGTAGTTAACAAATAGATTCCAAGTTGCAGTGTGTTTGTTCAGTAATAGATCAAATGACATCACAGATGACATCAAGATACAGTAAGAACATGAAAGTGGCACCCAAGGCACAGGCAAATGAGTCACTGATGTCTTTACCACATTGTCTTTATGATCTATTACCTTACAGACCCACAGCAACATAGAATCTATTTGTTTTATAAGATCCCTGTATTTATGGTGGTCTATGTATATTTGCATGTCTCCACTTCGCTCTAACTAAATAGTAAAGTGTCTATCTCTACTCATAATAATATTATGGTTATGAGTGAATGTTCAAGTAGTGAATGTTCAATTAAACATGAAAAAGTTTTTGAGACTGTGAAAAGAGATAATGAACTTACATCTCATTTGGGACAGGGTTGAAAATAATTTGTAGCGATTATTGACTTCATGTGTTGAATTCCTATGACTTTAGAAGGTTCATAAATGCTCGCAGGTTAGCTTAATTCATCATCAGTGTATTGCTAAACTTCAAAAGTACACTGGTTAATGAAAGAGACCTGGGCATAGTTAACAGCACTCTCCACCACCTTGAACATGCCCTGTTTTTCTTTAATAGTCCTAAATATACATTTCTTTTTCACACTGTAATAGAGCCTTTGAGTTACGACTGGCTGAAAGAGTTTCAAATGGATTACAGCAAGTGTCGATAACAGATGAGTCTGAACTTCAGAGAACAGCTCTAGGAGGCCTTAAGGGCCATGGAAAGAAAGGAACTGTTGGGACTAAACGTACTGGAAATGCCACTCTCAGTAAGTCACTCAATACTGGTTATTGCAAACCCATATTTTTAATGGTAATAGGAATGAGTGGAGTCCATTTCAGTCTACAACCATATGAGTGATTAACAAAATCCGATGGCTGCAAAGCAGGAGTCCAATTTATCAACCATAAGTATGATTAGAGACAGAATCACTAGTTAATCATAACCCTTACAATTTCCAAAAACAACAAATACATTTAGGTCAAATATCTCCAAAATGTTGAAAAAAATTTCTACATTTGGGAAATTCCTCAGCTATTTTTCAGGATTAGTGGTTATTGTGATTAATGGATTTGGTTGGGTGGACTTAGTATGATTGGCTGCTTTAACTTTCCGATTACATAGTCCAATTGCATTGTCTGATTACAGCTGTAGAGAATAATTAGTGGAAAATAAAGTAGCTATTATGCACCAATTAAATTTGAGGAAATTGTAATGGTTATGATTAAAAGAGAAATTAGCTCTTAGTATTTGAAAGCTGAACATTTTACCTTGTGCCACATCAGTCATCACTTTCCCAAAGAAAGCATGATACTTATATACAGTACCTCATATCTTGGAAAATCATCCATGATTGTTTGGCAGGCTTGTTCTATTTACCCTTCGACTACTAAAAGTGACTAGTATCTGATTTCTCTCCACAATATCACCCCTAAATCACACATTTAAGCCATGAGAATAAAGGAAATGATCACCTATGGAAGAAACCCTTGATTGTTAAACCAAATTCTACTTGTCAGCACTGTAAGAAATGTGTAGAGAGCAGTATGGAGAATATGCATACTGATGTTAGGGTACAAAGAGTTAAAACCCCATGGAGTTCAACTTTTTAGTTTGGTTGTTTCTTCATTGGTAACTTGTTCTTTCAGCTAAAAAGACGGGCATCAGGGGAACTGTGACAACATCAAACACCTCCAATAATGGCTTCAAGATCTTTTGCGACAATGAACCTGGAATGCAAAGCTCCTTACCCCCCTCCACAGGGGAATGGCAGATGCCCCCTACTGAACCAATAATCAAAAAAGAAAACACCCAGAAGCCTGGGAAATGGACTGATGCAAAGGTGCATAATGATAAATCTATCAGGAGTTTCAATGATTTTTTCCATAGGTAGCTGCCCAAACACAAGCCTTGTCCAAATATATATATGTGACAGTGTGTGTACTGTATGTATATTTATTGGCTGCTCTCCTTGATGGGGCTTTTCAGGGCACATACAAGCAAACGTTATGAATAAATGTAGTGTTTTAAACCCCAACTGGCAGGAGGCAGACCAGTTGGCTTTATACAAAGCACAGCCAGGCAATTGAACCTGGAAAAACTGCCGATAAATCCAGTGAAAAGCAGCATGGGGGGCTTGAACCCAGGTCACCCTTTTACAGGCCCACTAGGCCCAGTAACCATTTGGTTGCACTGCCTCTTGACATTCAACAACATTGAAGTTATTCAGTCAAGTCAAAACATCTATTGTCTGCATTTTAGGTCTCTCAGAAACACCGTGCATCTGTGCCTATCAACTGCATGCCCCAAAAGCCTGTCTTCTCTGTCCATGTTGATGATGACATCAAAAGCCACCCTCCTGCTACTCCTCAGCATGTGTTACAGTTTGACAAGGTCTTGAGCTCGCGCAAACCAGATCGACCTTCTGTTATGGATACACTCAGGAATAAGGTAATGTTCAAGGTGTATGTCGAGGTTTGTATGATACACTGAATTGCACCTGCATTTTGATTTGTTCTGACTTGTGATCTATTAGAGGACAGGCTTGTGAATAACAACATAATTAACAACAAATACAATCCATGCCCCAGTGAGCCTGTACTGTAGGAGATCACATATTAAAATGTAAAAATGTGGAAGGACATCAGTGACACAATTAGCTGTTCCTACCACATTTTGACGTCATCTGTGATTGACTACTCAACAGATACACGGCAACATGGAATCCAATTACTAATTTCACATAATCTAACAGGATGTGGCAGTTGAGCAAGTAGGAACAAAGAAGATTCAAGGATTTCCAAAGCAATTTATTGTAAATGCAAACCAAAATAGAGTAAATGGAAGTAAAGTAAAATGATATAAAATAATGTAAAATAAATGGGAACAACTAACAGAATGTTACCTTGCCGGGAGCAAGTTCTCCACCTCTCTAGCCCTCTCTTAGACAAACAGTTCAGTACAGCAGCACAAACTCAACTCAACTACAACCATAGTTTACTTCTATTTAAGAGTGGAACCACACTTGAGGGTGCAGTGAAACTGCATTCAAGGGCACCATGAAACCACATTTGTGCTAACATGTGCAACTGTAAAGGCATTCCTAAATGATATCATAAGCTTGCTAAATCATACCATAAAAATTTCTAAGAACTAAAGGAAATATTGAAACCATAGATGTGGTTACTCAGAGAAATTATGTGTCTGGTGACCATCACAATAAGATGTGAAAATATAGAAGGACATCAGTGACACCATCGGCTGCACCTTGTGTCATTTTGACATCATCTGTGATCTACTATTCAACCAACACATGGCAACATGGAATCCATTTGCCAATTTCACAGTACAGTCCTGTGATCAAAAGTTTGATGTCTTTATTTTCTGTAGCCAGAGAATGCTGAGAGCCAAAAGTCAAAGGTGATGTATTGCAAGGAAAAAATTTATGCTGGGACTCAGGAGTTTTCCTTTGAAGAGCTACGCGCAGCAAGGATATTTGCTAGGGTAAGAGAGGGAACCTTCAGAGCACCAGCTATTGAGAGACCTCCCACAAATGTTCGATACATGTACCCTAAAAAGGAGATTTATGACTTAATCCGTGGTGAGTTTCAGTATGAGGAAATTCTAGCCAGGAGATATTATGCTCGTCAAAAGAATGAAGAGGCTACAAGGAACTCACAAAAGATAAGCTCGACAATACAGTGCAAAACTTTGCCAGCCAGTGGCAAGCAAGGTGGTTTTGAAATGCATTGCGACAAGGAATCGTGTGCCATGGAGATTGGCAGCTGTCAGAAGAGTGTTGTTTCAACTGTCCCTGAGCCAAACACTTCAACTGAAGTTTCAACAAAGACAGTTTATAGCAGGTACAGGTATATTTGATATTTTTTTTACTCGCAGACAAGAAATCTATATACTTGTATCATGAAAAATAATTTGTAGTGTTTAGTTTTTTCCATAGATTCCAGGTTATTGAATGCAGCTTTAACCCTTTAACCCCTAAGAGTGACTGGCATCTAATTTCTCTCTACAGTATCATCCCTGAGTCACACATTAAGGTCATGAGAATAAAGGAAATGATCACCAACTAAAGACGCTCTTGATTGTTGAACAAGTTCTCCTTGTCAGCAAGTTAGGAAACAGCAAGTTAGGAAAGATAATGTAGAATGTGCATACTGATATTAGGGTGTAGAGGGTAAACCCTTTACACATAACATCAGTATCCATTTTCTCCATACTCTTCTCCTCACATTTCCTTTGGTACTGACAAGGAGAATTTATTCAATAATCAAAGCTTCTTAGGTTTGTGATCATTTCCTTTACATAGATTGCTGTATACAGTAAATTACCTCAGTAAGGAAAACTGCTGTGTTGTAGTTTTGCTCTGATGAAGGGCTCATGCTCAAATCGTCAGCTTTAGAAACTCTTTAGGATGGCCAATTTACATCATCAAATCAGTTGATGAAACCAAATTATCTTTTTATACTCCTACGTATTCAGCACCACAGTTTCTTTTGAGACTTACCCCCTTTATTCCTGTGTTGTGTAGATTGTCAGTCTAGGCATGAGACACTTGTTTTAACACAGAAATATGTTAACATTGAATTTGACTTTCCAGTGTGGCTGCTGAACCTATAGCACGACGAGGTCTTGCCTTCGCAGATCAATCCAGTGCTCCTTTTTCTTCAGTGCAAAAGAAGTCTGATGGCAAAGAAAACATGTAGGTTTTGTGCATACTGTATACTTGGAAGAATGCACTCCTTCCTCTCCACCATATGTAGTTGTAGGGGTCCTTTTAACCCTTAAGCTCCAGATCAAATTTGTACTAATTCTCCTTACTGTCAACCATAAAATTGTTATAATGTTAGTACTGAGAATTTAGTATTGAATCAACCAAATATCCCCAAATTGAAATTTTTCTTTATTTCATCACTAATCTGGTTGATGTTGTACTGATATTGTAAGGAGAAATTCTGTCTTGGTCACTTAAAAGAGTTATAGGGTTAGTGACATCCTGTCTTATTGTTTATTGCTATCATGGAATAGATTTAAACAACACCTTTATTCAAGAGAAACAGGTTTTGATTCTCACTGAAAAGTGCTCCTAAAACCCAAGTGTTATACCTTCACTGCAGGGAACATCTAATCAAGGACACTATTTTTATCCTTGAGGGTGTTTCTTGTATAATGGTCCTCCCTGTATGATGAATAATTATATGTTAGGACATTGGCAAATTAAAGAACAAGGAATCTTCACCTGCATAAAATTATTAAGTTATTATTTTGAACAATTTACATCAGTCCATGATATCTCTTCTAATGTACTAAACCAGTGGATAGCGCTGAAGGCGCACTGTGATTGGCTACACGAACGCTGAATATCCTTTGGTATTCAACGCCGAGCAACATGCACAGGATTTACACCTGAAAATGTTGTAATCATTGCAAGAATGAATTAGTAAAAAACATCTTTCTGTGCTATGTTATCTCACTGTTTTAGCAAATGCTAAAACAATTACTCACCTCGCAATGAGGTGATATCTACCGCTAGCCACCTACACTGAGGTGAATACCGTTGACTTCATTTTCAAAGCGGGTTCTGGTGCTCATCCTTTATATGATTATGAGTATTCACATGCAAATTAAACTCATTTTCATTTGAATGGTTGAGCACCAGGCCTCGTTTTAAAAAGAGGTAAAAGGTAATTCGGAAATGGCCTGATGGTATCACAGTAGGGTGCTCAACTCGTCAAAGTGCGATTTATCCAGTAGGGAAATACTATTTGGTTGTATATGAATGCACAGTCATGCAATTATTCTATTTTTTAGTGTGGATGTGGAGCCCATGACGCAAGGAGGTCTTGCTTTTGCAGATCAGTCTAGAGCTCCTCTTCCTTCTGTGCAGAATTCAACCAACCATGAGCAGACCTCTTCAAAGCCTCCTGGCTCCACCCTGGCAAGTGATTCACAGTCCATGTACCGAAAATCAGCTTTCCACCCAGTCACACCGGATGTGAACAGGTCTTGTAGCTTCAACAGCTCCAATCTGGCTGGTCCTTCGCCAACTGTTTTCACTAAACAAGCGTTAATGGTTGTTGGAGATATGTTCTGCGGCCCGCTTGATTCAGAACGTGACTTAACCCTGGGGCCGCGCCAGGAGATGGATAAGACAGAGAAGGACTTTGAAGCAGCATTCACTGGTGATGATACTACCACTGTGGGATTTTCAAAAGGTCTTGCAGGAATGGGTAGGCAAAGACTTTAATCTACTACACACAGATCCCGGGGCCCGTTTCTCATAGGCCGCAGAAACTTTTCAGGCCCAATGTGATATTTCTAGATCTAATACTGCGGCATAATAATGCAAGTCTTCACTCAAAGACCATTCCATCCTGTGTCTTTTCCTGATATCTTTATTTCTTTGAATCTCAAGTTTGTAAAAGTCTCGATCTTGAGTGAAATGTAGAAATATAAAGAAAAAACCTTTTTGAGCCTGTTAAGAAACCGGGTCTTTAGAGAAACAGGCCCCAGCAAAGTGTTAAAGTTGGGAAAGGGTAGAGCCAGGTCCAGGGTGCACTTTGCTCTCTTTATCAAGAAAACTGATCATATGATTTATGACAATTGCTGGTAGAATCAGAATCATTGTAGTCCCCGAGTGACTCTGCGAGGCTAGTGCGCAGGGAGGTCCTTAGGAAAAATCGACGCCCTTGGGAATGTATATAATATTTCAAACTCAACCGCAGCAAAAGCAAATATAGATTACGAACAGTCCTTACTTTTAGGCAAAGTCCGCCGTGCGAGTCATAAAATCACTAAAATTACATTGATGTTCCAGAGTTCTACGTGGCGCGATAACCGATCAATTTTCACTGAACTTGTTGCTACTCGTAGTCTAAAGCAAATATGGGATACAAGATTTCCTTTTTTGCTTTTTCTGGGAAAAGCCAAATAATGATCTCTCGAAGAAATAAAAGCACTTGGCCTCTCCTTGATCAATTATTGCCATACGGAGCATTTTGGCCGCAACAGAAGACGCATATGTTGTTCACAGTGGTCATTACTAAACTCTTAGAGAACTAACGTACCTCTTGCAAATTATGAAACAAAAACCCTTCAAAGAACCACAAAGTTGCACTGACAAGTTTCTCTTTTTTAACCGTTTTGAAAAAGGAGGATTTGGAAGTTCTGCTGGTTTCGTGATTTATGATGAGACTGCGGCTGACAAAAGGAATGGAGACACAGATGACAAAGAAAAGGAATTTGAAGACAAGGAAAATATGTACGTGTTGAATATGGTGTTTCCCGAGATTTATACACTCCCTATTTTCGTCCTGAGCTTCTGTCAGTACTTATCTTAATAATGGTTATTGTATTTCATAAAAGCTTTTAAATGTTGGAATTACTCTGTATCCGTTGAATCACTTTTAAAATGAGTTGATACACAATCACCGTGTTTGGAGGGTCCAGCTGGAAGTGTAGTGTTTGGGACACAAATTGATCTAGGTGCAAATAAATGGCTTCGTTGGTGTTGGCGAGGCTTCGCACTGATACTGACCAAAGTGTCATCTTTTTTTTTTCGTTATTGCACGTTTTGCTAATTCACATCAAATATGATTTGTCTCTGACAACTACTTTTGTTCTGTTTGCTGGACAGGCCACCAAAAGGCAACCGGCAAGAAGCATGTCGTCGACCCTTAGCTGGTATTCTTCAGCCATCCCTGGGTATTCCAACCTGCTCAGAGGAGGATGATGACGAGGAAGAAGCTGAAATGAATGAAAAATTTGAGAGTACAAATCTCAAGAATTACCAACCGTTGCAACAGCTGGACAAAACTAGCGAAGTTTTCTTGGCCGATTTCACCCATGACCAGACCCTTGCATCTTCAAGCTTCGCCACTGCGGCACACATGGCCTCGACTCCATTCTGTTACACAAATGGCCCGATGTCACTTCCCAGCCTTCCTTGCAGCACAATTCGCCCAGCTAATGAAATTCCAGAATTGAGTGACTTGCCTTCTGACGGAGGTCAATACCGGTCCTCACATCCGAACACTGTCCAAGCAAGCAACAGCTTTATTTCCACGCCCAGCAAAGTTTTGAGCCCAATATTTGAAGCCAGCCAGGAGGATACCAAATCAACAAACTCAAGCCATTCGTCCAACGGTTCATCCAGGCGATTTTCGTGTTCAGTTGGTGCACAGCAGCACAATGGGTTAGAACTAAGTAAGATACAAGAGGAAACAAGCCTCTGCCACGGTGATGGTGAACAACAGGCTGTCAATGTTGGTAATGTTGCGATAAACCCTTTCGCTGGTGCTGTTGTTGACAATTTACTCCGCCGGATTAATCCTTCGCTATCAAGCTATGAAGGATTCACTGTGTCAAGCAAAGAAGTGCCAAGAATTGTATCAAATGCATCCGTGAATTTAGGTGAGTTGTGAATCTCTTTGCTGGGAGAAATGCCTAAAATAAGCCCCCCTTAAGTTTTGAATTAAACCCAAAAAATGTCTGATTGTGGCATTAAAACTGTAATGAACGATACTGCCCAAATAAAGGTCCTTTTTAAAGAAACACCAAAAAGTGTTGGTTCATTTTGTGAATTAGAGAATGAAGCTTGAAATTCTTTGTTCAAATTGGAGAAACCTCTCAGTAAGTCCTAATTTTGCAATAGGGCAATTTTCAATTGAGCGTCGAATGTCATCCGGGATTGCATTGGTTTTGCTTCATTTGGTACTTTGATTGGTTTAGAAAACTTGCACATGTTTTTCAACCAATCAGATGTAAAACTAAAACCAATGCGACTTGGTTACTCGCGTTTTTTCCGCGCTTCATGCAGTTTTCTTGTTTTTACCTCGAGTTCCCATTGACTGCTTGGTTTTGGTTTCTACGACGCTCAATCGAAAGGCGCTCTATTTACGAACCAGATTTGAACATCATGATTTACTTCTCTTGTTTACGTTTGTAGGTGGCAATGAAATATTCAATGTTGAAAAGTCGATCGGTTCTGGGGCTTTCGCCAAAGTTTTCTTGGCGAAAAAATTCGGTGACAATGATGATAACGATTTCGAAACTGACGACGAAAGTTCCGTGGTGTTGAAGGTAGGGTGCCTTTTTCAGGTTGATCAGAATGTCAGTTCTGCGAAATTTTTTTGGTGATTCCTTTGTCCTTTTGAGGGTGTCTTGTGCCCGTTGCGTGTATCTACGCGCTTATTTTAAGCCAACACCCATGTTATGTGACCTAAACCGAAATACAACGAACAATTCTGGGCGAAGGAAAATTCCAAGGAACCAATGAGAACCCACTAGAGATCTGAAGCAAACGACCTGAAGGGCGGGAAAACGAGAATGATGGGTTCTAGTATTGTACATGATTGGTTGAGAAGGGTGGGCGCGAGTTTTCAAGACCAATCAAAGAGCCTCTGTTGTGTGTCTATTGCGCATGACATTCTGTCCGGCGTCTGTTACATGTTTATCCACACTTAACATTGCACCTAACGCTCATTCGCATGAATTTAGATCAGATTCCGTTAGTATTTTTCCCTCTAAAACCCCTCATAAACCTAAGGCATTTTTCCACGTTTGGTTTTAGGTTTAGATCCCCTTTTTTTGTTTAGTTCATGGAACCCCCCATGGTTATTTGTGTTAATATATCCTACAGGTACAGGAAATATCTATTGAATGGGAATTTTACGTAAGTAAACAGCTTCAAAAGAGAATGAGGGAGTGTGGATGCTCTAAAGAGCTGGTAAGTTTATGGCTCTTCAATTTTAAGAATTCCCTCCTAAACCTAGCCTTAAACTATATTGAGAACGTTAAGTACAAGCAGTTGACGCCTTGAGTGTTGGTCAAGTGACCTTCGTTATGAAAAAAAAATGGAAAGTTTAGATTAGAGTTAAAGTTGGTGCTAAAGTGATTTCTCTAGTACCGGCGGAAAGCCTAATTGGGGAGATAAAACTATTCGTTTTGATCGAGAACATTTTTGTCTTATCTGAAGTGAATCGCGAAGCTAAATCTGACTGCTAGCCAAGGTTAGAGCTATTAAGTACAGTGTTGAGGACAAGGCAATAACTGTTGCCGAGGATGAGAAAACCTTTTTGTAAGGCAATCACTGAGCGAAAGGTTTTTCCAAATCTCTTAAGTTCTTTTTAACTCAATCATTTGAGCTCAAGCGCAGTGAAAACTCTTCCTCCTATGCCGTCCTTAAGCTGCCAAGCCCTTAACCCGCCCCAGTCCCCACAACCAGCCCCAGTCTCTCATAGAGACTCGCGAAGACTCCTCGACAATAACATCACTTGTGCACTTGTTTTTCCTTCAGCAGGCGATGTTCATGGACCCAATAGCGGCATTTGTGTATTCTAATTCATCAGTGTTGGTGGATAAATACAACCCACTTGGTACCATTCTGGTAAGTCTTTTTCCGAAGTAAAATCGGACTATCGTATGACCCGTACGGCCCTCCGCGCGCAATCCCATAGAAAACCGTTGCGAAAGACGAAGGGCCGATCACAGAAGTCCAATTAAGGCTTTGTCTTCAGTATTGAGTTTTTTTCGGGTCCAATCCTTAATATTTCTGCGGGGTTGAAAACCGTCTTGAGACTTTCCTTCGTCCAGCTTAACTCCTAACTCTGAACTCCTAAAAGTGATCAGCATGCAAAATCTCTTAGCAGTGTCACCCTTGAATCAAACATTAAGGTCGCGAGAATAAAGGAAATGATCACCAACTTGCTAGAAGCTCTTAATTGTTAACAAATTGGCATTGTCAGTACCTGAGGAAATGCATAGGAATCATATAAACAGTATGATTGATAAATTGACGAGTTTTGTTCTTTTTTCCTCAGGATATGGTAAACAAATACAAAATGGAGAAGAAGACCATGGAGGAAGGCGTCCTGTTTTATTACACCATTGCTCTTTTGCGAATTATAGAAACCTTGCATTCTTGTGGCATCATTCACGGAGACATAAAACCAGACAATTTCCTTGTGTTGGATAGGTAATCAAATTAGTTTAGTTCGTTCGTCTGTTCGACTGACTCAGCCAAATAGCTCATTACAGGGCTATGCATGTGTCAAAAAAAAAAAAAAAAAAAACCTCACAGGATTTTTACACACCATCTTCATTTCTCTCCATTTTTTATTTTTCTTAGTGAAGATACATTGGACTGCGCATGCCTAAAATTGATCGACTTCGGACGTAGTGTGGACATGACCCTTTTTCCAGCTGGAACAACTTTCACTACCAACTGTTACACAGAAGATTTTCAGTGCATAGAAATGAAAGAGGGTAGACCTTGGACCACTCAGGTAACGAAAGCTTCGAGGAAGGATTCATACTGCCTTCCAACAAAGATCCCTTCAAGTTACCGTAGCTAGAAAAACTACAATGTCAAAACGAGCTTAGCTTTGCTCGAGCTAGAGCAGTTTTCAGTGGAGTTGAAAAACCTAAACCGAAAACCAATCAAAGCCAAAGTGGACATCATTAGCCAATGAGAACTCAGAGTGAAAACAGGCAGACTGCTTAAAGCGCGGGAAAGCGCGAGTGACCAAATTTTAGTTTTGAATCTGATTGATTGAGTGGGTGGCGCGAGTTTCTGAACCAGTCATAGTGAAGTTAAGCAAGTCTAAAGCAATCATGGATTACTTTCAACACTCTAATAAGAGGCTCTGCAAAAGCTATTAAGCGTATAGTCACATTTTCACAATTGAATTTCACGAAGTCTTCACTCCTAGATAACAGCAATGTGCGTCTTCAACTTTAGAGGCTCTTTCCTGAATAAAGGAAAAACGTTTTGTTGAGTAAAACTGCGCCGCGCAGCCTTCAGTCCCATTTATCAGTATATGGTGTCTTAAACAATAATTTTTTTTTCCGAGGAAGGAAAGGTTTTTGTGACGCGAAATACCTCATGGTCTTTATCACGCGAATAAATCCAGCAAACGCAGCTAGTTGAAACGCCAGGTCTGGGAGTCGAACCTAGGCCACAGAGATTGGGTGCAGCTGTTCTCTTCATTGCACCATCCCAGCTATAACGATCGGGCTGCGGCGACTCCTTGTGCCACTTAAAGGGTTCCTGTTATTCTGTACTAACGCTGGTGTTTCATTGGTTTGCAGGTTGATATGTATGGGCTTTTGGGCACAATACACTGTCTCTTATTTCTTGATTACATGAAAGTAAGCCAAGACAAAATGGGAAGGTGGAAAACCACAAAACCATTCAAAAGGTATGCTCACTCTTATTTTATCTCTTATAGGCACCCCCTGTCAAAGTTTAGATTACACGATCACTCCCTTTCATTCAAATGCTCCAGAAGGAGGAAATTTCTGTCTCCACCTTAAAAAACGTATGTGATAAAAATACACACCACGCCTTTTTAGATTTCAAAGCAGAAGTAACCCAAACGTTCGAAAACTGTCTTTGAATGTGTTAAAAATGCTATTATGGATCCGGTAATACGAACGTACGCAACTCTCTGCAGTTCACTTCACCATTCGTAATCTCAAGATACCTTTTGATGGTGGCGATAAAAATCCATGGTTTCAGGGGCATGCTCTCCTTTAAAGAGAGAACTCTATCAAACTGCGTCTTTTCAAATTCAGTGTTTTTTTTTTCTGCACCTGACACTGATCGAAGTTTTCGCGCCCTTCTCTTAATTATCACCGGTCACATGCTTTCTTGCCCAAATCAAGTTTGCCTAGTTAGCTCTGCGCCCTCATCTCGGCTTTTATTGCTCTTGTCCATCTAGCTCGCCTTTTAGTTCATATCGAGGTGTAATATTTCTAATAAACACCTCCCCTATTACTCATTTTCCAGCTCTCTCTACAATGACCAGTTTTCCCGCTTTTTACCCTTATTGCTCATTTTCTTGCGCTTTCCACCAGTTCAGTTTCCCCGCCTTTAACCCTTATTACTGTCTTACGGGGTCTCTTCAAGTGCCACTTTCCCCGGTTTTATCCTATCATTTGAGAACATTCATTTCGTGGGGAATTCTTTTCCTGACGTGTGGTGGCCTCGTCTTTGTTCTGGTTATGAATTCTCTCTTTGAAAAATATCGCAGGTATTGGAATCCAATTTGGGGAAGGCTCTTCGACTCGCTGTTGAACATACCAAGCTGTGAGAAGCAACCATCTCTGAAAGATTTTCGTGAGGAATTTGAACAGTTTTACCTTGCGGATGAAGAAAATTACTCCAGACACAGACGAAGCCACGAGGTGTTCATGTTTTAGGCACACCTTCCTCTTGAAATCCGACTGGCTTCTGAATAAAAGGAAGAACTGTATCATACAGCTTTTTGCTATGTTCGTATTAATAACTATTGTTATTGGCATTATTATTATTATTATTATTATTATCATCATCATCATCATCATCATCATCATCATCATCATCATCATCATCATCATCATTAGTGGTATAAGTATTAGAATTAGTACTGATTTCATCATATTTTTTTAAGTTGTAATTCGTAAAACTTTCTGTGGACAAGTTACTCTTTCTGTTGTTTGTTTGTTTGTTTGTATGTTTTTTGTAAATATTCAGCGGATGCTTTGAGCAACAGTGAGTCGCGTTTTTCTGAAGCATCTCAGCGGGCCAGAGTATTAAACCCTCGGATCTGATTAGCCAATCGCGCATAAGTAACTAGTTCAGCTTTCTACCGTGTGGATCACGGTTCGGAATATTTTTCTGCGCCGTTCGCGGCAAAACAGGAAAAATCAAACCGATGAAAAAAGAAGTTATTTACTGGTCCAGGTCGCTCCACGTGGGAAAAAACTGTGTCCGATGTCTTTTAAAAGTACGACCTCGATCGCACTCAAGACCTTGGGCACAGTTTTTACCCATATGGACCTCCAGCCCGGTTTGATAACTAATGCCTTCGAATCGAAGCGTCTCATGACTGATTGATGGTAACAGGAACAGACTCTCGCTTTCTCGATCACGCCGGTGTCATTTCTGCTGTCATAACAGAATACTCATCCTTGAATTTAAAAGGAGTTTTAAATAAAAGTCCTTCAAAATAAACAAATATTCTTAGAAGACAACCAATAGTAGTATGGCTCGTCTGACTAACCACCATGAAAGTGAGGCTGTAAGATATTTTTGGATGTCACGCAAACAATGGTCACACATGAAGAAAAATAGTCCTGTGTGCATGTGGTAAGTATTTTTAGGCGGGAACTGACTAATCAACATGGATAGTCACATTATGAAAAAATTCCTGTGTGCATGTGGTAAGTATTTTTAGGCGGGAACTGACTAACCAACATGAAAGCGAGGCTCTAAGAAATTTTTTTTTGGGGTATGTCACGCAAACAATAGTCACATGAAAAAAAGTCCTCTGTGCATGTGGTAAGTATTTTTAGGCGGGAACCGACTAACCACCATTAAAGTGAGGCTGTAAGATAGTTTTGGATATGTCACGCAAACAATAGTCATGAAGAAAAAAGGTCCTGTGTGCATGTGGTAAGTATTTTTAGGCGGGAACTGACTAGTCGATTGAAAGCGAGGCTCCAAGAAATTTTTAAAAATGTCACGCAAAAATAGTGTCACACATGAAGAAAAAACGGGAAAACACGTTTTAAGTCTGAAGTGCCTAACCATCACTCAAAATTTTTAATGGGTTCTTCCAAGACGTCTCAATGCAGTCATTGTCGTTACACCACTGAATCTATCTTGTTAATGATGTGGTGTCCAAAATGTAAACATGCAGCTGTATCTGTTTACACACGTGTTTAACTTTATTGAGAAATGAACTAAAGATCCGAGCGTATGGGCACGACTTCGAAGACGTCATCAGTGCTTATCTCAATTGGATGAATCCGATGAAAGATGTCACTGATTTGATCGGACAACTGAAAGCGTTGACAGTTGTCGAATATTCGCCCCGATGGTTACATATTCTCGAGAGAAACAGGAGATAAGCATATGACAACTAACTGTTTACGTGTACAGACATCCGTCAGTATCCGACACCTGTGGGCGCTTACATACAGCTGTATCTTTACACACGGGTTTAACTATATTGAGATGGGAAAAAAGATACATGCGTGTGGGCATGATTTTGAAGATGTCATCAGTGCTTATCTCAATTGGAAGAATCTGATGAAAGATGTCACTGATTTGATCGGACAGCTGGAAGCGTTGACAATTGTCAAATATTCGCCCCGACATGATTTTTAATCCTATAATCCTGAGTTTTTGTCACACAATACCTTGTGTGACAGACTTAAAACAATAGTTTTTCCTCCGGCGTGGCGATGATAGAACCCAAATAGAATTTGAGCGGGAAAGTTTTTTGTCCCTGTGTGGATAGAACCATCTCTGCGGGAGAGAGATGACAGCTGTCTGTTGAGGTAAACATGTCGACAGGAGATTATGTCAGATGAATTCTAAATAAGGGATATGACTCCGCCCATTCGTTTGCTATAACAGACTGTGTTATCAACCCCTGTTTTTCATTCACACAGATCTTAAGAAGAGAGGCAGAGCAGAAGAAGAAGAAGAAGAAGAAAAGAAAATGGAAGACATAAAGAAGAAGAGTTCTAAGACAACGAGTTCAAGAGCTCATCCGTATAAGAGTAAGAAAGCAGCAGCGAAACAGGCAGCCAAAGACAAATTGAAAGGCACTATTTTTGTGGATGCGTTACCGCCCCAAGAAGATGAGAAGGTCGTGGTGACGAGTGAACATTTCAAGAAACCTGAGGAACCTGCCCCACCTCTGGAAGAAATGAAGTCGCTGATGAACAAAGTGGGCAAGTCTAGTGGTGAGAAGAAGGAGTTGGTGGTGGTGGAAGAAGGAGAGGTCACCCCTGAAGGAACAGGTGATTATCCCTATGCGTCTTTGGACGAGTTGTTGTATAATGTGGAAGTCAGTTATCCATGTCCCATACACTATACCCAGATAGAAGAATTGAAATCTAAGAAAGAAGATTCCCCTGACGTGTTTCTACGTTGCCAAGAAAGTCCTGCCCCACCTTTTGCGATGTGAAAGATTACAATTATTATTATTATGGATGCAGAGAACAGGGGCACAGCTAGTTCACCCTGGATACTATCAGTCGTATGGTGTGTGAATGTGGACTGACTCCCACATTGTCCATGTCCAAGTCAGACAAGGATTATGGAAAGATGTATTTGAGATGTCCTCAGAGGAATTGCGATTTGTTCCAATGGTGGCGTATTATTGTGACAGATGTCTGTTGGGGTAAACATGTGTTGGCGGGAAAATTTGATTATAAGAAGAGATGGGTTGCTGAGTGTTTTTATCAGTAAGGCCCAGGTCGCACTGCTGCCCAAACCAAAAATTTTGCGTGACATCTTTAAAAATTTCTCAGAGCCTCGCTTTCAACCGACTAGTCAGTTCCCGCCTAAAAATACTTACCACGTGCACACAGGACTTTTTTTCCTCATGTGTGACTATTGTTTGCGTGACATACCAAAAAAATTGCTTAAAGCCTCGCTTTCATGGTGGTTATAATTAGTCAGACGAGCTATACTACTACCAATAATAACAGGTCGGTAGTGCGGGTGTAGAAGTGAGGTGTCTTAGTGGCAGCAGGAATTTGTGGTGTGATAATGTAGGCCAGAGAAGTGATGGAGCCCTTCCACCTGAGAAAATTTTCAAAATCTAATCACGATTTAATGCTATTGCAAACCTTCTCGAGTGAGTTTTTTTCACCTTCGGGCGATGTTATACCAAGTTTTTTTTTTCAAATTAAAAAGCAGCACACACACACGAACACAGTTAAAATTGCTGTGTTGTATAAAACTACTCGAAACCACGCATATTGGTGCCAACGCGTTTGCCAGTTCTTACCCGGGCTCTCCGTCTCCCCTTACCCCTCTCTCTCTCTCCCCCCTCCTCCCTCCCCATTCCTAACAGCATGATTCACACTCTAGCACTGTGGAGGGTCGATCGCGTTAGTAATAATTTAAGCGAAGTATGAATACCAGTCGGAAATCACTTTATGTGATCCTTCAGAGTACAGGTGGCGAGCCACCCGTTCTTGTTCACAAAAACCGCACAGGTCAACAAGCTGGGCGCAATTTTTAATCTCAACAATTGCAGGGAAATCCATCAATTGAAACGGGTCACTCCCCACGAATTCACCTACATTACCGTTGACAAGCAAGCTCATGAAATCTGTAAGTAGGCTGGAATTCATTCATTGCGCAAAATCTAATCGACTTCGAAATCGAAAATCGACTTTGCAGTGCCTTTGATTTCCTTTTCATAATATTTTAAAAGAAGTATTTGCCGGCTAAACTTTCAGAGTAAATAAATTTAAAAGGTACTTTTGATAACTTGGAAGATATTATCAAATGCAATACATCTTGTAAGCTCAACACATACGTGCACATCTTGAAATTTAAAATTCTCGTCGTTTGCCACTCGAAGAAGGGAAGGAATTAGAAAGGATGTCAGAAGCATAAACATTGATATAAGCACTGTCAGTTTGTGTCATCCTCCAAGAATCTCAAAACATTTACGCGGATGTTTTTTGCGAAAGTTCAAGATGAGGAGATATTTCTGCGCTTCCTTTAGGCAGGTTTAGGGGTCGGTCTGAGAAAGCTTCGTTACTGTCAGGATTCAGCTTGAAAACATGTTTCTTGGAAGTATTGCATTACTTCTATGGCAGAATTTGTTTCTGGTGCAGGTGGTTTAGTCTTATGACTTCATAAATTATATTGTATCTTGGTGATTAACGCGGAAACGTTTCCTAAAAATGCGACGTTGAGCTCATGCTCAACATCGTCTGTTCTTTATAGAGAAACGTACTTACATTCTCTATTTTAATCTATCTAACATCTCAGTAGGGGGCTCGTCATCTCAAGCACGTTCGAACAGGCCTAAATTAAGCTCAAATTAATAGGTTAGCAGGTTGCTGTTCCTTGTGATAATTTACAACAAGGTTTCCTCAGGGGTTCACCACTATTGCGGGATCTTCATTTTAGTTCGTTTTAGTTTCATGTTTATTGGTATGTTTATTCGTTGGTTCGCTCGTTAGTTTGCGAAGGGAATGGTCTATCAAAGTAATTAGAGAAGGGTTTCAATGAGGTGATGGCTTTTACGGCTAAAGGTTAAAATTTTGGCCAATTTACAGCTAAAGGTTAATTTCTTTTCTTTGTGATTAGAAGAATAAATTGTTAAGGTTAACCCTTTTTACTACAAACGGTTAAAGTTTTTCAATTTCTTTGCCTAGCGGCTAATTTTTTTTTGCTGTTTTACGGCTAACGGCTAATCCCATTGAGATTCTCTTTGCGCGATTTTCAATTGAGTATCAAAAATGATCCTGGAGTGTTTTGGTTTGGCTTTACTTCGCTCTATGATTGGTCCAGAAAACTCGCGCCATTATCTCAACCAAT